TATTGGTTAGTATTACATTCAAGCATTGGAATAGTATATAGTCATTAAGACTCGTAGTTTTAAAGATGATATCATGACATAAAAATGTTCATGCTCTAATTTAAAATGAAAAAAGCAGGCTGCAAAACATAGTTTAATCTCAATCTTGTGAGGGAAAAAAGAAAGGATGTATGTGGGAGAGAGAGAAAGAGCAAGAGAGAAATAGGGTGATCCCATTGATAATAAGTTTAGATTAAGGACTTAATATTCTTTGTTTTAGTTATGGTTGAATGTATTTATTCTCTTAATTTTTTTAATTTTTAATTTTTATTTTTATTGAGACAGGGTCTTGCTATGTTGCCCAGGCTGGTCTCAGACTCATGGGTTTAAGTGATCCTCCTGCCTTAGCCACCCAAGGAGCTGGGACAAGAGGCATCCCCTACCACTCCCAGCTGAGACTTGGTAGTCTAAACACTCGCTTTAGGGGCATATACTTGCTCAAGTGATTTGCACGGGAGAAGGACCCTAAGAAGCCATTTGGGAGTGTAAGAACTAGGCCTACAGACAATAGAGACAGGTCAATCAAGAGTTCATAATCCTAGGGAAGGCAGAGCTTCCTTAGAGAAGGTATAGTGCCCTCCAGGGACCACAATGCCTAATGGAGGGCAGCAGATGTTCTGTGGACAACCAGCAGACACTCCCAGGGCTTCCCAGAAATTCCCAGGGGGAGACACTGCATTGGCAGGGGAAAGACTCCAAGCCAGTGCATTAGGAAAGTGAGCACTGAGTCAACATCTCTTGCAAGCATTTGTACGCACCAATGACTGAAATGTCTGCGTGATGTGTGGCTGTGTTTAGAAAAAGGAAGACAAAAGAAAAGTAGTCATTATCTCTGGGTATAAGATTATGGTGGTTAAACTTTTAAATACTTTTTCAAATGTTTCTGTGACAAGTATTTTTATTTTTTCGAGACAGTCTTAATGTGCCACCCAGGCTGGAGTGCAGTGGCGTGATCTCAAGTTCACTGCAAACTCCGCCTCCCAGATTCGAACAATTCTGCCTCAGCCTCCTGAGTAGCTGGGATTATAGGCATGCACCACCACACCTGGCTAATTTTTGTATTTTTGGCAGAGACAGGGCTTCACCATGTTGCCCAGGCTGGTCTTGAACCCCTGGCTTCAAGTGATTCACCTGCCTTAGCCTCCCAAAATGCTGGGGTTACAGGCTGCACCCAACCTGTGATGAGTATTTTATAATAATAATAAAAAACATCAGTCATTTGTAAACTATCTCTGGCTTCCTTATGTTCCTCTTGCTTCCATGCCTCCTGCCGCCCCACCATGCACACACACTCTGTGTTCTCATCTGTGCATAACGTAGGAAACTCTGGCTTTTGGGGGGTTCTGTCCCCCAGGGCACAAGAAGGAACTGGGGTGGATTAGGCCTGGGCTTGACTCGACAGTTCGTAATCTGCCTAGCAGGTAGAATGGCACAGCAAACTCGAGCTGGGTGACCTCCAGGCACTTCATATTTTGGCATTGATAAAAATCACCGCACTTTGTTGATTTTGCTATTTCTACCCACAGAGGAATGCACAGATATATGAAATCTGTTAAATGATCCATTTAACTATGTGGTAAACACACCGTATACCTGTTTACTGTCCCAAAACAGTCCCCTTTGTAATTTTATAGGGTGATTTGATCATTCCCTAAGTCAACACAGCGTTTGTTTTCTCGTGAAGGAAAGAGGATAAGGCTCATCAAAATTAGCTGACTCAGGACAGTTTACCTTGAGAGTAAACCAAAGGACAGTATGGGAAAGGGTGCAAAAGAGCTTCTGTGTTCTGGTAATGCTGTTTCTGAATCTGGATGCTGGTAACTTGGGTCTCACTTTGTGAACATTTATCAAGCCGTACACTGGATTTGCATGTTCTCACCACTCTTACCACAGCCTGCACCTCGAGCCTCTCCTCCTGGCTGGCTCCCCACACCCTGCACTTCCCAGGAAGGTGTCTCATGACTCCTCAGTGGGAGTACTTCCTACTTTTTCCTGTTCAGGTGTCTCTAGAACCTGCAAATCTCCTTCACAGCACTGATTGTAAGAGAAAAGATCTGGCTGCTTTTGTGGTTATTGGTTTCACGTGTGTCTCTCACTAGATCCTAAGCAACTGGGCTTGTGCGTCCACTGGGCCTGCTGCTGTGTTCCCTGAGCCTGGTGCAGTGCCTGGCAAGATGGTAGCCTGCGAAACTGTCTGTAAGGGAATTTTGGAGAGCCAGAGAGGGAGACAGAACAGAAGGGTTGGGGGCAAAAGACAGGAAGGGGAAGGGAGGAGAGAGGAAGAGTTGGGTCTCACAAGATCTGAGTATTCCAAGGCATGGCTAGAGGTTGGTGAGTGAGAGCACTCTGGAGTGTGTTGACATGATTGAGTAAGGAGTCTCTGGAGAAAGAAGTTTCTGAGAGAAGGTGGTCTCTCTGCGGGCAAGATTGCTTCAAAGACTAGCCTAGGTTCATAAGGGGAGGACGGGGACCCTGAGCCTAGTCTTGCTCCAGTTTTTTTCTGGCTCAGAAGCAATTGCAAAAAAAGAGCTATTTCTTTGCATTTCTTTAGGAAACTGAGCACTAAATGTCAGCAGCATGAGTGCAGAGGCCAGCCACGTCAGGGGCAGCCATGGCGTGGCAGAGAAAGTGCAGGTGTGGCCACGGCACAGTGGCAATGAAAGCACTTCCTACACTCACAGGTGGCACCAGAGAAACAGCCCACACAGGCCAGGCTTGGGTGGCCATAGAAGGATCAGTGCATTTGGTAGACTAAGTAGTGGGAGAGGAGGCCTCTGAGGGACTTCATGACACAGAGGCCATCATATATGGTGAAAGAGACTGAGGCTCAGAGGGAGAGGAGGGCTGTGGTGGCTCCCATGCATGCCCCCAAAAGCTGTATCTCAGGGCAGCTATGCAGTGCCCAGCAGGAAAAGCCAGAAAGGCACTGGAAAAATTTAAGGTGTATGCCACATGGCCTTCAGAGTTGGAGCAAGTCCAGCTATAGAATTTACTGTGAGGTGTTCCCCAGTTTATAACCCCTGGCTGGAATTCTCTGGAAAACACAAATCACTGAGAGTTGGCTTCTAAAAAGTACCTATACATGGGGAGGAACAACATTAAAGAAACAACGAAGCCAGAAAAGAAAACAGCCCCTGGGATTTGTGAACAGGTGTTCTTGACAGGGTCCCTCACCTAAGCCATTCTTCCGGCACAATTATCACCCAAAGCGGCTTGTTTCTAGAACACTCCATCGGGAGCTGCTTCCCTTTTTAACTCAGTACTCCCAAAGACTGCTCTGGGAACAATGGCTCCCAGTCTTAGGGGGGAAAGTATATTTTTAGAGATGGGAGATGACAAAACCATCATCAATAAGCAAGAAAACTCCCAATTATTTTCCTTGAGATACTGTCTTGTGATATATTATGTGGGTAGGGCTTTCTGAAGCATTTTCTCACCATTTTTTCTGAAACTGTGGCTTTCCAAAATTTTTTATTGCCTACCCTATTAGTAAAATCATTTTAAACATGCACCACAAATATCTGCATATTTATTCACTGATTATATTTATGCAATTGTGTGTGTGTGTGTGTGTGTGTGTGTGTGTGTGTGTGTGTGTGTTGTTTACTGTATTTATAGTGAAAGTTCTAATAGAAGGTGTCCACTGGGGTGCAGCAGGCATCCCACTAAACAAAAACAAGGCAGACAGGGCAAGCATCATAATTCTCAGCTCGTGGATTAATAGACTAAGCCTTGGAGAGGAAGGGACTTGCCCAGTTCACATAGCCAAAAGTTGCAAAACTGAGGTTAAAACTCACTTCCATGCTTTCCAGCTTCTCAGATTCTTCCTGCAGGTGCCAAATATCTCTTTCTACTCATCAGAATTTGGAAACGGACCAGTCATATCAGTTTTTGGTGATTTATACATCGTTTCCCCGCTTTACCTATTTTGTCATTATATCCTATAGCGCAGAGCATGCTATGCTCTCAGGGTTCTGGAATTGGCATCTAGAGAACACCTATGAATGAGGAGGAAGAACATCAAGGAATTGATGTTCTGGAAAAGCAAAGAGCCCCTTGGATTTGAGAACAGGAAGCATGCACTTTACATGCCTCATCTCTTTCTGCCCCATCCATTAAGCAGGGATGATACAGAGACCTTCCCTGGGTCTCGCCATGCCCAGGGTTAATATGTTCTGCAGTATATTTGTAGAAAGATGATGCTCTCTGTAGTATCCAGAGATCTGATGTGACTGACATGGAGTGGCCACTCTTTTTTTTTTTTTTTTTGAGATGGAATTTCACTCTTGTTGCCCAGGCTGGAGTGAAATGGCACTACCTCAGCTCACTGCAACCTCTGCCTCCCAGATTCAAGCGATTCTCCTGCCTCAGCCTTCCAAGAAGCTGGGATTACAGGTGTGTGCCACTATGCTTTGCTAATTTTTTGTATTCTTAGTAGAGACAGGGTTTCTACATGTTAGTCAGGCTGGTCTCAAACTCCCGACCTCAGGTGATCTGCCCACCTCGGCCTCCCAAAGTGCCGGGATTACAGGCATGAGCCACTGCGCCTGGCCAGCGTGGCCACTGTTGACACAGGAGACATGGCAATGGTACTTCCCTGTGTGAAAATGAGGCCTGAAGGAAGGTTGCTTGCCTTTCTTCAGCAGAGGTGTCTTGTGAAACAAAACAAAACAAAACACCGATTCCCTGAAGCAGAATAAAGATAAAGAAACAGAAATATTTGGAAACAAAACCGCAAGAGCCAGGAAATAGGCAGCTCCGGCGCCCCAGGAAGTGAGGTGGATCAGCAGATAGGCTTGGGCGGAGTATCTGGAAGCTGTTGCTGTTTACAGCCTCTGTCCTTTCTCTCTCCCAAGAGGCACCAGGGCCCAGTGCTGAAATCACTGTTTAACGAAGGTGGAGCCCGCCCTTACCTGGTACAATATATATATAAGGAAAATCCAGAGGGCAGGAGCAAGCAGACACCAGCACTGCTCTCTCTCCCAGGCACGGTGCTCCCCTCCACTCTCCACCCCGAGAGCCTGTGGAAGCTGCCCCGTCTCCCGTCCTCCATCAGATACACCTGTCTAGGAAACAGGTAAGGTGTGAGTGGTCATCTCTCAGAGCTGTAGACCAAGGCAGTCCTCTAAACATTAGTGAGGCTGTACAATTCTCTAGAGAGCTTCATGATGTCAAGTCTCAGTTCCCACCTACGGAGGTATACGTTCAGTAGCTCTGAAAATGGGGTGTTTCTGATGCAAGTGGTCCAAGGGTATGCTTTAAGAAAAACTAGGGTAAAGGGTGAGTTAATTGTCTAAGAGAAGCAAATCCAAATTTTGCATAGTTCGTGCAAAGAGAATATTTCTTGATCGTTCTGTCACCTTTGATTTCTGCTCATTCTCAGTTGTGACCTTGAGGACTGTTGACCATAAGGGACATGCTGATGACAGAAATCATGTCTTCTTTTTTCACTGCCATGTAGTTTCTGATACATAGTAGTGTTTAATAAACATTTGCCGAAAGGAAGAGTGGGCCCTGGGACCTTGGTTTTCTAATCATCTATCTTGTTGGTTATAGGAATGAAGCTGAAAACTCTGGGTTAATCACAAAAGACAGATCATTTCAACTTCAGAGATTCAGAAGGTTCTTATGTGCTTCTAGCAGTGTTGTGGTCACACATGTCTGTCTCTGTAACTGCTAAAGTTGCATAATCTTTGAGATGTGACGCTGTTCTCAGGAAGGCAGTTCCAGCTGCTCAGCTTGGACCCAAGTTAACCAGATTAGAGTAAGCGCAGATATTTCCCTCTGTAGTTACAGTTGGGTCATCAACTACTGACTGCCCCATTTGTTCTGGGTTACAAACACAACTTTACTTACCCCCATGTGGCAATAACTAGATCTTCAATCAGATTATTTTCTTGAATTGTCTCACCTTTGTACCCAGCTTGCTATAAGTGTTTTTTTTTTTTTTTTTTTTTTTTTTTTTAAGGTTAGAGGAGTGACAGCTGCAGGAAGGCTTACTTATTAGTAGACTGGTTGATGGAAATGTGATAATCTACCAAGTGTTTAATAGGCAAAAGGTATATGTATCATGAGTTCATTATCCCAGTGTGTAGATGGAAAAAGTGTGGGACCTGGTGAGTGATTTGCTGCTAAAGCTCATACCGGGTGCAAATGACAGAGCTAGAGTTCTGCCGTGCCTGGTAGGTACCCTGTCTTGTCCCCTAGTTATTGGGTTGTATTCAGTTACCGTCTTAAAAGAACACCTTAGAAGGAAAGGTGCTATGAAGAAATACACACATTGGGCCAGGCACTGAGGCTCACACCTGTCATCTCAACACTTTGGGAGGCCGAGGTGGATGGATTGCTTGAGCCCAGGAGTTTAAGCCAACCTGGGCAACATGGTGAAACCCTGTCTCTACAAAAAAAAGTATAAAAATTTGGGGGCTGGAAAAAAATATTAGCCATATGTGGTGGTGCACCCCTGTAGTCCCAGCTATTGGGGGCAGGAGGAGGGATGCTGTGATTGAGGTGAAAGGATCTCTTGAGCCCAGGAGGTTGTGGCTGCAGTGAGCTAGGATCATGCCACTGCACACCAGGCTGAGCGAGACACTGTACTGCAAAGAAAAAAAAAAAAAAAAAACCTACTGGCCCTGAGGCACACTCTATGTCAAGCATTGTGCTTGATGCTTCCATATGGTGAGCTGTGTGATTTGGGGAATGTTCCTTAACCTCTTAGGGTCTCAGTTTTCTCATCACTAAAATGTGATAGCAACAATAATCTGCCTCAAAAGGTAATTGAAAGGATCAAATGAGATCATGTATGGAAAGCACTTAGCAGTACTTGAACGCATGGCAAGTGCTCAAAACGTTTTTGTCATTGTTGTTGATGTTATTTTAGCCTGGCTTCTTTATAAAGCAAATCCTGAGGCAAAGCTTAAGTGTGACTGTACTTACTTGGTACGTAAGGCACCAGGGGAGTGAGAGTCAGGGGAGTGGGAAATGAGAGGAATAAAAGGGGAAGCAGTGAGGGATGATGTGCCACCCACCCGGCCTCTCTTCACAGAGAGGCATGGCCAGCCACTTGGCCAAAGCAGGGCTCCTCTGGACTGGTGTTGCAGATGCATTGTGCCTTGGAAAGGTCTATTCAAGTGAGGGTGGAGAGGACCTTTATATGTTGGCTCACTCTGTCTCCTCTCTTCTTGTTCAAATCTTGCCCTATGGGGAGTTAGCTGCCCTGCACTTCCTGCTTGTTTCTTCTGAACCCCTTGACAGCAACTGGAAAACTAGATCTAATTGCTAGAGCCTTAGCACCTTATCTGAGTCCAGAAGTGGTCAGAAGAGCCACTTCCTTGGCTAGAGTAGAAAAGGGACCAAGAGTCCTAGAGACAGGTTGAGGCTAAAAGAACCTGAGACAGCACCTAAGAAAGGTTTAATAAAGACCAAAACATCATTATTAATATCTGCTGAACACCGTGTATGGCACTAATGTTCCTGCCTATGCATCACCTCTTTCTCCCATGAGAAAACCATAAAGGGGACCCTGCATGGTCTGGTCCATCCCATCTCTCCTCAAGGTTTGGAAGAAGTCAGATTGAGGGCATCCTAACTCTCTCAGAACTGTCCATGGTGGAGCATGCCACTGATAGCAAGAAAGTCCACAGCCATGCAAAAGACCAGAGCAGAATCAAGAGGAGGTGTTGATTTTCTACGAAACTTGGGGCTCCATCTTTTGAACAAGTGCTTCCTAAAGCATGGTATACCTAGAACACTAATGTTGGGGGCTGTTGCTGGGGACTCCTTGATATAAAGCATTTATGATCAAATATTTGGATGAACGTTGCCTCCCACTCTTCCCTCCTCAGAGAATCATGATTCTTGTTTACTAAAAAACGTTCAGAGAAAGCCAAAACAAAGAAACCAGATGCACTGAGTCCACCAGAGCTTCCCATACTGAACTCCCGTCAGAAATGCAGCTTTGGACCACGTGTCTGTGGACCCAGTCTCTTTGGTCTTGATTCCTAAATTCTCAGGGGACTCTTCTCCACTATGCACTGCTTTTGTTTTGCACAAACCCTTTTGAAGAAAAAATTCTGCAATATAAGGGAAGGCTGTGTGGTGTATGAGAAGCTTACCAATCTGCAAAGCTGATTCTCCCAGGAAACAAGTAGGAAAGCTCAGCCAAGCCTTGTTTCTGTGTCTTAATAATAAAGAGAGGTGAACAAGGCAATCCCAAAGGGGTCTCCCAGCCTCCTGTAATCCATGATACTCATGTTGCAAGGCAGGAAAGGTCACCTCGTCTACCTCTTGCATTGCCTCAGGGACAAACTATTTAGTGAATAAAGAGATCCAAATTTTTAAGACATGTTATAGGGGTATGAAATGAAGATTTGCCCACCGCTGCCCTCTGTGGTGAATTGAACATGAAATGGGGATGTGTACCATGTCCCAGGGTAGTGGCTGGGGCAATGAGTTGCCTCTAAGGACATTGCCTGGAGGACAGCCAGGGTTCTGGGGTTAACATCCTCACTTCGGCCAAATAAATCCCGAGGGACCTTTAAAACTGGGAGTACCCGGGAGGTTTACTTCCTTTTCCACTGAAAGAATGGTCCCTTGGTCAGAACTCTGCCCTCTGATCACTGCTCAGCCATGTCCACCTCCCATGCCTGTGGATCAGGTCTAACCAGCACCTCCCATGCCACTCAGAGAACTGAGCCAGACCGCATCCCAGCCTACAGACCACAGACACAGAGTGGCGCAGTCTCCATCAGAACCACACACCTGCCTTCAGGAGAGGCACCCAGTGGCCCACTAGAGATCGTTGGTTCCTAAGGGCCTGAAGAATGAGAGTTGGTGAAGAGATGACGGGAACCTTTGCCCCACCCCGTTCTCCTCACCAAACGTTCTGCCTTCTCCCCAGTCTAATCCTTAAGCAGACATGGCTGTCAACCAGCTGAACTATTACCATTAAGCCCCATACCAGAAAGCTCTAGCTTTCTTGCAGGAACTTAAGATAGACACTGTCAGATGGCATGACCCCAGCGGGAGATGAGGGCAGAGGCTTTCTGCAGGGGCTGGCTCCTGGGACTCCAGCTGGCAAGCCACCCCAAGCACGTTCCGTCAACCCGGGACTGTCCTGAGCCAGTGCTGCAATCCCCTCGGACTTGTCCTCAAAAGATCTTCTCCCTCAGCCAGGTCATCTTCCCCAGGTGGAGGGATTCCCCACAGCTACCTGCCTGTTCTGGAACATAGCCCAGGCAGCAAGAGAGGAGGAGGTTTCCTGGGATCTCGTCTCCCTCTCTTCTCAGGCAGAGGCTCCCAGGCCTGTCCCCTCGGCCCCAGGTCCTGTCCTTCCCACCATCTCCCCAGTGGGCCCTGCACGAGCTGGTGTTTAGGCCATTTCTGCTCGTCTGTCTTTCCTCTCTTCCCTTCTTGCCCTTAGTCTTTGCCTTTGGAAGCTCTGGCTCTCCCAGCTTTCTTTTCTTTCTTTCTTTCTTTTTTTTGAGGTGGAGTCTCACACTTTCCCAGGATAAAGCACAGTGGCGCCATCTCGGCTCCCCGCAACCTCTACCTTCCAGGTTCCAGCGATTCTCCTGCCTCAGCCTCCCTAGTAGCTGGGACTGCAGGCATGCACCACCACACCCAGCTAATTTTTTGTATTTTTAGTAGAGACAGGGTTTCACTATGTTGGCCAGGCTGGTCTCGAATGCCTAACCACATGATCCACCTGCCTCAGCCGCCCAAAGTGTTGAGATTACAGGCGTGAGCCACGGCACCTGGCTGCCCTCCCAGCTTTCTTAGGGCTAGAGAGGGAAAGAATGACAGAAGGAACATGGGAAACCTCAGAGGCCTAACCACCACCCTCCCCAGCCTGCCTTTCTCTGCTTCACTCACTCAGACACACGTTTACATTCTCATTAACACACACACACACACACGCACGCAAAGTTCCTTCTTTTTCATGTTGCCTTTGGACATATTTAATATAGCAAGCTCTTGTTTTTGTAAAACTTTTCTCCTCCCACTGGTCTATACTCTGACCCCCGTGATGAGACCCCACCTGCTTGGATGGAGGCTTGTTCCAGAACAAGAAGTTCA